AATTTTTAAGGAACACATCTTGATTCTGGGTTTAAAAATGCATTGTAATTACCGCGTTACTGACAATTGTACCGAGTGAATACTACCATTTTCTTTCCCTGTAATGCCTTACATTACCACATTACAGCAAAAAGCAATGCATTACAGTCATTAATTACTTTTGTACCACATTACTCCCAACACTGTTCTTTGATTACTTAAAAGGAGAGAGTCCTTTCTTCATTCTTCTGTTGAGCTGAAAAGAAGCAGGTTAGATGCGAATGCATGAGACCTTGAGGCCATATCTCATGCAGACTAGTTCTGTGTCAGAAGAGAGGGGAAATAGTAATTTCATTCCATTACATATCCCCCCTTTTCAACGCCAGGTGGTCTCTGCACAGACCACCGTACCACTGAAAAGGGGGGATATGTAACATTCCATTACACTGGAGTCATCTTTTTGTTCTGTCATTAACACCAAGGGCAATTTAGAGCCACCAGTTAACCTAACAAGCATTTATTGTAAAAAGATAAATAATGCTGGAATTAAGCTGAATCTTACAATTAGCGAATAGCTGAGGGTTGTTAAAATAAAAAAATAAAGACTGAACAAACATTTATACCCTGGTTCACTGGAGATCTGTCATTCTTCGTGTTCACTGTCTTCAGACATAAGCCTTCTGGGACACTTGATAGATCGTGTTGATTTTCTTTGAGGTATTTCCATAATTTCATGCTGGCTTTTTATGCTGGTTAGCTTCCCCATTCCGTTATCCGCTTTCACCGCGGCGCTGCGCTCCGTTTCAATCAGGCTGTACAGCAGGATTTCCCCTCGTGGCGATATTTTCCATAACTCTGATTGCTTCAAAGATCGTTGGAAAGCTGCTTTTATGTACTTTTAGGAACCGTTGGAATTTTATGAATCTGATCAGCCATTCAAAAGTTATAAAACGGAGCATTTTGGATGACAAGCACGTCTCTGAATCTGTGTTGTGATTCGTTGCGCTCAAGACAGGGAATCCCGGTGGCTACCGTAATGTATTTTATATGCACGAAAAGCCCCATTTTTAATATTTTCAGCACTTTTGGAATTTTAATGATATCTTGAACGGTTCAGGAATTATGGTAATGAGAAGCATGTCCAATCCCGTCTGCGGTGACAGGTTGGTAATAAGAATATTGTGGCGTTAACAGAGGGGTGCCAGTGTTCTGGGAATTTCTCCTACCCTGTAAACCGTCCTACCCATTGTTCCTGAGCAAGTGCGCGCATGCGTACAACACAAAAAGGGAAGCGAAGCGCATTGTCATATTTGCAGGAAAATAGGTAAGTAGTAAGTAATAGTACTTTTTATTGACGTTGATACTTGATTTTTGGGGTTAGGTTCAGTAGATATAACTCAATGAATTCCCCCTTGAGTCAGTCCAATGACCGAAACAGTTTAATTAGGGAATCACTGGCAGTGCACTGGCCGCCACATGTCACTCAGAAACCCCCTTCCATTGTTGGTTTTTCCAGATAGAGCGCAAAGGAGAGCAAGAGAGCGAAAGAAAGAGCAAGAGAGAGAGAGAGAGAGAGAGAGAGAGAGAAAGCAAAAGAGAGTATAGAGACCAGGTTTGTGTCATGTAAAACACCATACAATTATCCTACGGGTAGGACGTTTTGCCAAAGTACAACGTTTTGTCAGAACACCGGCGGTCAGGGCTAGGGAGCCCCCCAACACAAGGGGGCCCCAGGCGGCTGCTGACCTATGCCTAATGGTAAAACCGCCTCTGCTCCTGCTTCAGCCTCTACTAAATATCCTCCATAAAATCGTTATTTTCAGTAGTTTCCATTTGGAGCCATGATAGTAATAAGATGAACCCATTCATCTTTTCGGCTGTCTATGTTCAATAGTTTCCCATCATTTCTTCTGTGTACCACTAGAGGGATTTCAGTGTAATGACTGAGCCAAAGCATTTTCATAAATTTGCAACAAAAAAAAAACAATGTGTATTCAATGATCACCATTAACAGGACTTGTGATCAATCAACCTTTAATCTGTTCTTTTCCTATAGGGATTATGATCCATAAGACATAAATGTAGCCATGGTCGTGTGATAAATCTTGTCACCTTGACTCAGAGTTACTGTGCCTCCTACTGAGCACTGAGTTCAGCCGCATCAGTTGACATGTCACGAGACAAACAGATGGACACAGGCTCTAAAATCTTGCCAGAACAACCTGTGGAGGTTGTTCTGATGTCACCTAAGAGCGAGAGCGATGTCACAACAGTCATGATTCAGAAACCAGAGGGGGCATTTAATTTCAAGCATAAAAATACATCTGGTTTAGCTATTTTAGGTGTGATGCCACAAGTTAAATTCAGAATTTCTATAACACCAGTGTGACATTTTGAATAGTCATCCAGGCTGTGCACAACAGTGTGTCCATGACTGTTTTAAACACCATGCATACTATGCTATTGAGTGCTTCTTAATTGTTTCTCCACGCTAGTTTTAGATGCTGTTCAGAAGTTAAATATCCTGCTTTCCAATGCAAACATTTGTATTGTTTACAAATGCAGCATGAAACATTTTGAAGGTTGCTAACACACTACTGGCCAACATCCCAACATGCATGAACTTTCTTCAAAAATTCCCAACGTTATCTTGGGAGTTCTTGCTAAAAAAAATGCATTAATTCAGATAACGTACAGAATGTAAAGTTTGAGGCAAGAAAACTTTGGGAAATTTGGATGACTTTTAAGTGACAGTGTGTATATTTTCTGGCAATGGGGTTAGTAGATACCTAAATCATTGCAAGCAAGCAGTATTTTTGTGTTAAAGACCTAACCAACGGATGCCCATTAGGGTCAAAAAGCCCTGAGGAGTGCTAACTTTAGCAAAATAACAAGCATATCAGACTCCCTTTCATCACTGACAACAAGTGAAGAGGTAAATGTGTAAAACAACAACATTTACGAATGACGAAAGTTTTGTAACTGTTTGCTACAAATCAGTAAATGCATTATGTCCTCATGGGCTCCCGTAGAAGGAAACATGGCATCTAATACGGCGTCGCCCAGAGACTTAGACCCGCTCATGTATTTTAGACCAGATTTTAATGGTTATATGTTACGATGTCGCCAATATTTTTCAACAATTGGGCATCTTTTAATTCATTTTCATTGACATTTTGATCGATATTTCCATAAATTAAAGGTAAAAACTACACATTGTCTCTTTAAGGTTAGAGTGAGTGGCATCATCATATATCATCATAACCTGGAATTATTCAAAACCCAGGAATTATTTCATAATCCCAATTCAGTTATGTAAAGCTAATCTTTATGTTGCCTGTTTAAATTTAGAATATTTCAATGCAGTTTACCATAGTTTTTATACAGTTTACAAACTGTTTAACAGAGCTACAGTGTTTCAAAGAGCGATGAGTTTTCTAATTTATTTTCCCAAAATCCCAACGCTCTAAACGAGGAAATACTTCACATTACACAGCCAGACGCCTCACAGACTCTGATGAAGAATCACTCCTCCTACTAATACCTCATGCTGTCCTCTGCCCTCAGCTTGACAACACCACAACACAAATGTAAAAAGCACACATGCTTTGAGTTTATGTGCTCTGCACAGCGGGGGGATCATCTGTCAGTCAGACAACAGTCGGCTGAGGTTTGTCCTTGTGCGGTACTATCACATGGAATAAAATGGGTCATGGGTTGAGGGCAAATCCAAAAGGCATTGTGCATTATGATGCAGCAACTGTCGGTCAGGTGGACACTGATCTATTTTAATGAGCCAATCGTGTGACGCTTTCACGACTTTCATTATTAATCACAATGTGTATTTACTTAACCTGATCTACCGCTGAACTACTGCCCTGCTTCATTTTCTCTCCCACTTAAGGTAAGTACGACATTCTAAATGACCTTTTATCAGAAGAAAGCCAAAGTCAGCTAGGCTTGTCACTGTTGCAAGACGAGAACAACCGTAGCACCTTCCGGTCTGCTGTGACACCCCCAGACTTCTACATAACTGCCTCTACAGTATATGTCTGGGTCAAGCATGACTTTTCTCAAGTAATAAAAACTGCAAGCATATCTGCATGACCCTGACACATGCACGACACCGGTATTTTTAAGCACAAGAGACAGTGCCAAGTCATAACTTTTGTCAAGGACTTGATGTGACTTTATGAACATGGAGGTCTGTTCTTGAATTTCACCCCAACCGTCTTGGTGAACTCTTTATCCTCTGAGTTAGAAAATGCTATTTGAGCCCAACAGGGTGCTAGTGTGACTGCTGATAATGGTTAATGTGTGTAGACTGGAGGATTGAAATCCCCCTCCAGTGAGTAATAATAGAGATAAAAGCATCAATAACATTCATTTGTATTTTTCTATAGACTGTTGAATGTTATGACTGCATTTGACAAATAAAGAATTATTGGAGCATTGTGGTCAAATATAGCAGAGCCACAGGCTCCACCTAAGCCTTTTTTAAACTACAGCCCAGTGCTGCATGAGGACTGACATGTTTTTCAAATTCAGCTAGGCCAGATGAACAGGTAAATCTGGATTTATCAATCTCAGTAACCAACAGAAATGCAGAAGTGTTACAGGGGAATTACAGATGTGATGGAGTATAAACTGGTTGGTTAATATCTTTCTCTTTCTGCTAAGGAATTGCAAGCTGCTACTATGTCTGAGGGGTGAGTAATCAAAAGGCCACACATTCACAATAGTGTTCCAAATAATAAATAAATAAATAAGAAAATAGAAGGAATTATCACATTTGGATGACACAAAAAAACCTTTAGGCAAGCAGATCTGATGTTTTTAATCCTTTTCTGTGTGTATTATTAATATTCTGATGTTTCCGTGTTTCCTTTTTGGTTGCATTGGTTCACTTTGATGCTTTGAAGACCGGTGAGTTAAAAATGCTTCACACATTAAAAATATCATCTTAAACAATCACGTCAAATCTAAACATAAATACACTTTGTTTTGTTTTTCTTAGAGAAAGAAGAAATTTGCAGTTACACGACGACTGCTCATAAAGGTCAAACCTCCTTCACTCTGATTATAACACCATGACCTTTAGGATACTCTAGAACATGGCTGGGTTGTGACAAAAAATGATGCATCTTTGTTCTCACACACTTTATATGTCAGAAGATGGTTAGTTTCTAGGATGTTTCTACTTATATCCATGCTCATACCACTCCACAATACTTTTTTGGATGTGGCTATTTACTCAACGGACAAATGGCACTAGAAAACGATGCTGACAGCTAGGGGTTGTATGAACTAGTCGACTAGTCGACTTCACTGCTCTGTAGTGACTTTTTATGCCTTTCAGCGACTAGTCGCTGTCACGTGATAATGAGCGACAAGATGCAGTCCTCGGAAAAGACAGCAGGTGACAAGCTCCTGTGCATCAGGATGCAATGCGCTGTGCCAGAGCGTCGGTACTGACACCCGCCTTAAAACGGACGTTTGACCAAATTGTGACGTTTACCCTCTTGCAATTTAACCTTCCCCTCACCCCCATCCTAATCTTAACCAGCATGCGCATGCAAAGCTCTGATTGTTGATGCGCTCCAGACATCTGCGTCCTGAGCACGGCCACAGTAACATTATCAAATCAGGTGTCGCCACCTCAAAAACTAATTTAACACGCGGTCGTTCATGTCGGCTCATTTATGTTTTCTGTCTTTCATTTGTGCCTGATGCGTTTCGCTGCTGTGGAGCGGGGCGCATCACCTGTTTTGTCCTCCAATAACTTCACCTCACTGATGCGGTCGGCAAGCACTCCGCTGTTTTTGCGATCGGTAGATCTTTTAGAACTGCAGTTCAAAGGTAACTCATGAGGTGAATATATATGAACCCAGGTAGCAGTTTTTCTTTAGGATTGAGAGGAGATGCAGGAAGATAATAAACAGACAGGACAGAAAAATAGTCAAATAAAAACAAGTTCGTTTTTGTACCTGGTGGTTGCAACAAACAGACACCACTGAAGGTAATCAGAAGTGAGGAGCAGAAAATGAAATAATTATTTTAATGTTTAGAGCAGCAGGAACTCTGAGAGGCTGCAGGCGCACTGCGCATGGGGAGGGGGGAGAGAGCTGAAGTGGAGCAGTATAGATGCAGAAACTACTGCTGTTAAAAGAGATGTGTTTAACTTTGAAAATGTGGGCGCAATTTTAATTGTCAAAAACTCCAGCGACCCCCCCCCCCCCCCCCCCCCCGCCGCTTCAGGTGTACGACGTCATCAACGACTAGTCAAAGGCGACTCGATTTTCATTACTTGACAGTCGACTTTAAAAAAAATTACATCGTGCAGCCCCTACTGACAGCCAGAGGTGCCAAATGCCGAAAGGCAGGGCAGGTAATAGCTTGAAATCCCCGGAGGGCAGACAAACTTTGAACCAATTCAGGACTGCAACAGTAGTCACATTAACATTGACACAAGTAATCGGATTAAAAACCTGAATGTAATAAAAAATACTCGATTTGACCTCATTTGGAATACTCTGACCCGATCCTTCGGATCAACATTCCCTTCCGATTGAGAAGGGTGGGTTATACTGATTTTTATTGTGATTGCTGTGCAGGTAGTGATATGGGTCACACCACTGTGCATGTCATGTGTCATGTACCTCACGTCTGCGTTTATGGATGCTAGATGAAAACATGGTGATTATCCTCCCGCTGTCTCTTCCTCTTCATCAAATGGAAAAGTTTATACTGTTTGTCTTGTTGATGTAAAACCGGGATCGTAAAAAATAAAAAGGCGCTCTGTAGAACATCGTACTGCTTTATTTTAAATGTACATGGCCACGTTTTTTTTTTTTTTATTTACCACAGACGCCTGCTACTTCTACTACAGCCGTTTCAGGTTTGTTAGCCATGTCAAGAGGATTTATTCCGATCAAACGTGCAACAGATGTAAACGCTTATCATAACTGGACATATTTTTTCAGAACTCATGCACAAATTTGACACCGAAGCATGATAAACATATCTAGTAATTAGACAGTGAACGCTGTTATTTGACTCCACCTTATCACATGCCCTCCTGACTGCTCAGCCAGCAACCAGCCGCACATTTCCTCATCTGCAATGCCAACACCCCAACCCCTGCTTCCAAAAGACACGCTGTGGCGGCACATCAGGCTACTGTCGCCACAATGTGTCCTTTGAATGCACCGTTGAGGCAAGGTGAGGCAAAAGCACTGTGCCGTTTGTGTCACCAAGCTTCATATGAATATTACAGCACTGCCAGACGTTTGAATGAAGATCACACCTTTTCTCAATGGTGGTGTCATGATGACGTGTGGAATGTCCGCCAAGCCCCGGCCAGCAACAATCTTTACGAGAGTCAGTTTTGCTTTTGTAAACAGTATCAGCTTTGATGGGAAACTGGAGTGATGCTGAGATCCAGAAGCTTCTGGTCTTTAGAGCTGAAGAACAGAACACAAGACAGCGATTGTGAAGGACAGTCACCCTCTGGAGCGACTCTAAAAGAAAACTAAGGAGCACTGTGACTAATGCCCAAGCTGAAGGGATGTTCGTGACAGCACATCAACAACACCCCCACATCTCCTCTATACCACCTTCACACAATCCTTTGTAAAAAACACATGATTGCATCACGGTGGCACAGGAGTTAAGTGCTCGCCCCGTAATCGGAAGGTTGCAGGTTCGAGCCCCGCTCAGTCTGTCGCTGTCGTTGTGTCCTTGGGCAAGACACTTAACCCCCCTTGCCTGCTGGTGGTGGTCGGAGGGACCGGTGGCGCCAGTGCTCGGCAGCCTCGCCTCTGTCAGTGCACCCCAGGGCAGCTGTGGCTACATCGTAGCTCATCACCACCAGCGTGTGAATGTGTGTGTGAATGGGTGAATGACTGATTGTGTTGTAAAGGGCCTTGGGGGGGGGGGGGGGGGGACTCCAGGACTCTAGAAGGCACTATATCAAATACAGGCTATTTACTATTTACATTATCGCCACAGGCTGGTCTCTTATGTATAACCATGATGATGCTGCCTCCCCTTTGCAGAAAAGCAGCACCATTGTTTGTTGAAAAGCTCTACAGAGCATATTGTCCACACTGCAGCTACACCCTGCTCCAGGACAGCAGTTCTATTTTTTGCATGGGGCCTCATGACAACTATCACTGCTGACGGCCCCCTCGCCATAAAGCAACCTCACATCCAACCAGAACTACCAAATGAAACCATCACTATAATTATACATTCTAGCGACATCAACCTCCAACATGACCACTGTCGTCATTCATACATGCTTGAAGATCTCACCAAGCCCTTGCAGCAACTGAATATGTTCTGGCCTATTTTTGTTACCGTATTCACCGGCATTTATTAGGGTATTTTTGTTTTTCAGTCCAAGCTATTGAAGAAGGCTGGCTCCATGCTGGTAGCTGAAATTGAGGAGAAGAAGCTTGAGAAAGAAAGAGTTGTAGATGAAAGTGTTCCACCGCTGAAGCTGTCGGGTCTGTCAGCCCAAGAGCTCCAGGTACCAACATAACCAACATAACACACACAAATCTTTATTCACCACAATTCTGATGTTTGTTTTTATTCACTTTCCAGGAACTTTGCAACGAATTACACAGGAAAATAGATGTTGCTGATGAGGCACGTTATGATATGGGGGTTAAAGTGGACAAAAATGAGAATGAGGTACAGAAAAATAATCGACACTGATTAGTCAAGATGTTGTGTTTTTTTTTTTTTTTGTTTGTCTTTTAACAACCAAGGTGTTTACTGCACAGATCCAGTCACTGAAACAGAAGATCATAGAGCTGAAGGGGATAAAAAAGCCCAGATTGAAGAGGGTAAAGAAAACAACTGATGACATGCTGGGAGCATGCACCGAAACCTCCAAACTCATGAAAGCCGACTTCAAGGCCAACCTCAGAACAGTGAAGAAAGATGAGGACAAGGTAAAACTGCTCTTAAATGAGCTTTATTAGTTATAATTAATTTTACCTCTGAGGTAAAACTACTTTTACTTATTGTATTTTTGCAGAAGGAAGAAGTGACTGATTGGCGTAAGAACGTGGAGGCCCTCTCTGGCATGGAGGGCAGGAAGAAGCTGTTTAATGCAGGACAATGAAGAGATGCTCGTTAGCAAACATGGTTTTGTTAGCAACACGTCTGTCTAATGTTCACTATAAGTTCAAGATATTCAACTCTTATCGTGCTTTACTCTGACATTAAACTCCTACATGTGACCAGATGCCGTCTCTAAAGGTAAAAATTTATTTGATTAGATATTGCATAATTCAAATTCTGTGTTTTAAATAAAGGCCAATTTGATTGATGACTATGTCTGTCTGTAACACACACACACACACACACACACACACACACACACACACACACACACACACACACACACACACACACACACACACACACACACACACACACACACACATGACTAGGAGCCTGACTACAGGTTTGGTTTAATTCTGGAGTCACTCACAGTTTATCATGCATAAATGATTTTGTGTGTTAGATGTGTATGTTACTATTTTTTAGACAAGGCACATTTGAAAAAGTGGATTTTTGCACATGAGCATGTGTGTGTAATGCAACATGTCTAAAAACATCTGAAAGCGTAATAATTTAGTTGGTTTGTAGATGGTGATGAAAGCTACAGTTTGAGACTTTGATTTTCTTCAGTCAGCTGCAGTAATTTAACACAGGAACAGGGTTTTTTGTAGAGTTAGAAAGAAAAACTGCTGTTGTGATCCTGTTTCGACGTTGAACCGGCTGCAGACTGTGCAAAATCCTGCAGCTAGCTTTCTAACCAACACAAAAAGGTGCTGTCACATTGCACCAGTTTTGGCACATTTACACGGGCTCTCTGTGACTTTTAGGGTTCGTTTGAAGCTCTTACTGTTTGTCTATAAGGCGTTAAATGGCCTAGCACCCCTGTATGTGTCAGAACTCCTTACACCATATGTGCTGGTGCGTTCCCTAAGATCAGCAAACCACTTACTGCCATGCACCCTCAAAACGATCTGTAAAGCGAGAGGGGAGCCGGTTTTTGTGTGCGTTGCTCCTCACCTTTGGAATGCACCATACGAGAGTCTTCAATGGTCTCGGTTTTCAAGTCTAGACTGAAGACTCACTTTTACGATTTGGCTTTTGGACAATGCTTTCTTTTATGCTCGGTTTGACCGGTTTTCAGCTACTGTTGTTATCGTTGTGTTTTCATTATTCTTATAGTTGATTTATCTTATCTTATTGAATTGTTTTAAAATTGTCTGTTCCTGAATTTTATTGTTTGATTTTTTTAGTCTGTAAGGCTCTCATGCTTATTTTAAGTGTGAATTTGTTCATGTATGAGTGTCCTGTTAAGGCATGTCGATATCATGGTTTACATTTTATTCCATAGTCACTATTCTTGTTCAGATTAAATAGATTTGTGTGATGGGTGTAATTAATTCTAACAAATCCTGATAATATTTTTTAATGAGATTTGATTTCATGTTTACGTAACCAAAACAAACTGTGTGTGATTCTGATAGGACATATGAAACTGGATCATTTCAAACACCTGCAGCACTCTCGCATGGTGTGCTGCTAATTTATGGGCTCGGTGTTGGTATGTTTTCTTTCAAAGGTCTGGATGAGGTCAGCCTGGATGAGTCAATATCAAGTGTTCAGCACAAAAACAGCAAACTAAGGACACTTTTGTTCAGTCAAATAAACAAGAAAAAATTGTGTGAATAGAGTACTGTTTGTACTTTTGTAATTTTCACCAGTTAACTCAATATTACCACAAAAATACACATTTCTGTTCACTTCTAGTTAAAATGGGAGTTTTGTACATTTAACATGCATTGATGTTTTCATTTTCTACTTATTCATGCACTGTGTCAGTGTTTTATGGTCTTTGTGAAACTATTAGATGTCCAAGGTTAAACCACAGAAAGCAAAATGTGCTCCTTGATCATAAAAAAAGGTCATTAAAAGAAAAGTTGATAAAAATCTATTGATCAAAACAGAAATCCAACATGGTGTTCTTTCTTCTCCGTGTCTACTTTATGAACTGAACCTGATTTCACAAAACAAACCACAGGACCGTGATGGTTCAGGTGTCGTTTATCAGCAGCAGCTGAGGCCATGCGGCCATTTTGGATAAAAGCTGAAACGCACTGCCTGGCCAAAACAAATGGGTACAAGCCTCCTATTGGATAATCACTGCATGGGTGATTATCTTTCCGCTGGCAACAAGTTATTTAACCCCGACTGGTGCAACGAGCTGCATCTCATTTCTTTAGCAACCATGTGGAAAGACACATCTGGTCAGATCATTGGCCTTTCTACTTCTCGTCCTTGTCACGGTTTTACGTAAATACGCTCTAATTTTTACACCCATCCGTGGTTTTATGGAGGAGTGTGATTGGTGAAATGTTCCATTTCGGAAAATACGAGGTATTAGTCCGACATCATGTGACACTGACCTTTCACCTCTCTAAACATTAGCATTTAATGCCTTTTTGTGATCGTTTTGCTGTCACACCCCTCTCTTTTTGTTTGAATTTCTGGTTGTCTTGTGTCTATGTAAATGACACTGCTGTCTTAGGGGCGACGGTGGCACAGGAGTTAAGTGCTCGCCCCGTAATCGGAAGGTTGCTGGTTCGAGTCCCGCTCAGTCTGTCGCTGTCGTTGTGTCCTTGGGCAAGACACTTAACCCACGTTGCCTGCTGGTGGTGGTCGGAGGGACCGGTGGCGCCTGTGCTCGGCAGCCTCGCCTCTGTCAGTGCGCCCCAGGGCAACTGTGGCTACATTGTAGCTCATCCCCACCAGTGTGTGAATGTGTGTGTGAATGGGTGAATGACTGATTGTGTTGTAAAGCGCCTTGGGGGGTTCTAGGACTCTAGAAGGCGCTATATCAAATACAGACCATTTATCTGCTATTTTTGTTGTATGATCTGAGGACCCGCTCGAAAATGAGATGCCACATCTGAAGCGGTTTATATCCTCATAAAATATAGTTTAAATAAATAAAAATAAACATATGTATGTATCCACTAACAGGTGCCGCAAAGAAATCTGAAGCCTTAAACTACGTTTTATCACCTCCTGTGCTGTTCGAATGTTGTCATGGACCACTGCAAATGTCACTGTTGGTGACACCAAAGCTGACACGACTCTATTTTAGTGAGCCGTTCCATTTAGCAGACACACATGAAGTTCAGAGATCTGTTCCCAGCATCTCACAGAAAGTCCAAGGAGCGTTTTCTGTCACTCACCTTCAGCCATCAGCCCACCAGCGTCAGCTACAGGTGTCTGATTCTTTAGCGTTTGCTGTCAGCATGTGTGAGTAATTTTCAGAATGAGTGAATTGTTCTAATGATGTTGAAATGTTGACTAACAGGTATTGCATTTTAGTGAGAAGTGTTGTTGTCTGACATTAGCAGCTGTTTAGCCCACGTGCCTGTGGATTATCTGCTCATTCACCACTTCTGTCACCTATGTAGGAACTCTCCTAGAGCTTTAACACTTCAACAGTTTTCACAGGTTTATTAACTGGGATTTGTGAACCATTTTATTAATTTAGCTAACTTTAATAAAAGTTGTACATTGCAACAAGAAATATTTTTTGTAATTATTTTAACTATATAGAAGTCCATATTTTGGATAATAGCAACAATAGAAATGTTGACCACCTATTTTGGTGCTTTTCTAGTTCCTATAAAAGAGATCTAAGCCAACATGGCTGATGGGTAAGTACCACAACTCTCTTGTTTGTTTTAATATTTTTATTGGGAAAAACAAATTTTGATAAACATTATTTTAAGATGTCTAATGTATTTTATTTTTCTCACAAATTGTCCCTCAGACCCGTGAGTATCTATATATTTCCAAGCATTCACAATGTCAGATGTGCTGCTTCACAAATGCAAATATATAGAAAATAACACAAGTTCTTTGTGTGTAAAAAAAACAGAGGAAATGTAAAATCTCTTCTTCTCGGCGGCTGGGGCTAAAGGTAACGTCTCTTGGTTATTAACAGAACTTTTGAATATTTTATCATTTACAATTAAAACAATTTCAAAAGTGTGTGTTCAAAGGGGTCCTTATAAATTATAAAGTGGTGTAGCAGATGGTTTTTGTAACTTGAAATTGCCAAGATTAAGTATGATTATATATATATATATATATATATATATATATATATATATATATATATATATATATATATATTGTTTTACTTTCAGATCAAACTGTTGGCAGCTGCTGCTCAGATGCTGCAGGAGGAGAAAACCCAGAGGATGAAAGAGAGAGAGTCTACTTTATCAGAAAGACTTCCTCCTCTGAACCTGTCTGGTCTCTCTCAACAAGAGCTGCAGGTATTATTGCTTTATTTTATTTTTCATTCAATTTGAGTGAATTCCATTTCACAGTATACCTCATGATTCTGTCTTTCTTTGTCCAGGACTTGTGCAAAGACCTGCACCGCAGAATTGATGTTGTCGATGAAGAGCGGTATGATGCTGGCCTAAAGGTTTCCAAAAACGACAAGGAGGTAAACGGAGCGAGCATGAATGTATCTGGTTGCAGCATTCACCATCTTCATATTAAACATCTTTTGTACGTTCATTCTACGTATTTTGTCAACTTGCATTTCTTGGTTCTTTTAAAACACAGGAACTAAAAGGTTGTTCTTTACCTTGTTTTGCTAACGTTTCATGTTTTAAAAGAACCAAGCAAGTAATCTTCTTAATCAAGTGAAAACTAACAAATTGTTTTCCATTTATTTATTTAAAAGAGGACATTGCATATTTATAAACAGCAATACAACTGTAAATATACCAGATTATAGCCTTATGCTCATTTCCATCTGCAGTTATCTAATTATGATGAAGGTAATAATGAATACTGCCATCATAATAATATTTGAATGGATATGTCTCAACATCCAGAAAGAATGCATTTCTTGCAGATAAGCCTGCATATTTAGAACATAATCATTAATAAGTTAACTTCAGAGCTGGTTTTGGTACTTACAGGAATCAAAAACTACTTTTGAATAAAAGTAATTTCTTAAAAACTAGTAAAACTCTACTTCATTGAGTTTTATTTATTATTTCACATTAGCTCTCTCTAGTGGACAAAAACTGTGCAATGAAGATGCAAAAAGTAGACCGAAGCTACAAATTCAGATGAGGTAGGTTCTTTAGAGAAAAGTAAAAAAAAAAAATCCCACTCATTAAATTTTAGAAGCTATTATTTGCCACATTGCGAGGTCTCAAAGCCATTAATCATTGTTCAAAATATTAAAAAATTGACCAAATCCTGTATTATAATATCATCAATAAAACTAAGTTAAAAGAAAAGTTGTTTTGAGTAGCTAAGAATGTCAGGAAACAACACTAAAATGCATTTATTCAGTGTTTGTGTTTTGCATCACTGAAGGATTTAATCAATAATAAGTTGTTAATCAGTAATAATATGTTAGCTGTAATTATAAATACAATAGGGTGCCAGGCAAATTTTTCCAACCTACATTACGTTTCTTAGACTGAAGTTAAATGTTCAGAAGCTCACCTGAACCAAATAGCCTCAAAGAAAAATATTATTAACCACAGTTTATAATAAGATGAAATGTTAATTGGATGATAAAGCGCTCCATCTGCATTGAGTAAGATTCCTGTCCACATAGACTTGACTGATCGTGTGATCCTGTGGCCAGATTGAAGACTTGAAACTGAAGATAACTGAGATCCAGAGTAAGTTTATGAAGCCTCACCTGAAAAGAGTGAAGATCTCAGCTGAAGACATGCTGAGTGTTCTTCTGGGCTCCAGACAGAAGGAGTCCTTCGACTTCAAGGCAAACCTCAAAACAGTCAAGAAGGAGGATGAAAAGGTGAGCTTGGTTGATTCTCATCGAACTCCATACAACCTATGGTTTTAGTTGTTTTTGTCTGACTGGTTATTTCTCTTGCAGAAGGAGGAGGTTACTGACTGGCGAAAGAATGTGGAGGCCATGTCTGGCATGGAGGGAAGAAAGAAGCTGTTTGACACCTCTGGCAACTAAAAAGAAAGAAAAAAATCACTCAGTTGCTTCATCTCTGGTTGTTATTGCATTTGACCGTAAAGTTTAGACACACTGTCATGGATTTTATCGATATGTTTATCAATAACCCATTTCCTGTAGTGAAGAGAGAAGGAGACAATGAGCAACAAGTCAACAGTTATAACTGTGGCATAAAGCACGATGCAAAACGCCCCGAACATCTGTTCACAGAGTTTATTTATACCAAGAGATAGAGAGAGAGAATGTGTGTGTGAGTGTGAGTGTGAGTGCGAGTGCGAGTGCGTGTGCGTGTGTGTGTGTGTGTGTGTGTGTGTGTGTGTGTGTGTGTAGGTGTGTGTGTGTGTGTGTGTGTGTGTGTGTGTGTGTCTTGTGTGGGTGTGTCATGCAAAGAGGCATAGAGCAATACATTTACATTCAGTTGATTGAGTCCATGATCAAGAATTAATAAACATAAGTTTTTCCATAACACACACTGACCTTATTTACATGGAGAAACAATGTCTCTTTAAATATTCCAATAGAATATGAGTAAATCTCTATAATTTAACATCGATATGGTGATAAAATATTAATGTTTACATAAAATCCTGGTTCAGAAAAAGACAGATGAGTATTTGATGCCTATAGTTTCAAAAGTGAAATAAAAACACTCTATCAAATATGACTTCCATATATTTAGTATGTGAGACTCCTGCATTATAATAAATGCATTTTTATTTTTATTTTGAAATTAGTCATTTATGCTTTGTTTTTAAGGATTTTTAATGAATTTGTGTGTACATGCACTCTAACAGCTTGTTTTATAGTATATTTAACACATCGGCAGTAAAGGATATTTGTCAAAACAAATTCACTGTTGTGATCCAGGATACAGAACATGTTCAAAATTAACGATGAAAAGCTGGGTTGTTTTGGTTTAATGTCAATAAACTCATGACGTTGTTGTTGTCTGATCAATTAATGCAGCAGTTTCTTGAAAATGTTAAAGGTCTTAAATTATCTTGCTTTATTAGTTTATTATTATTATTATTATTATTATTATTATTATTATTATTATTATTATCCTCTTTTATACAAAGAACAAAAATTTGGTGTAAACCCGTGGAGAACTACAAATCCCATCCTCCTACTTAGTCGACTCCTCCCCTTCGAACGCGCCCATCTTAACGCCGGCCGTTTCTCCAAATTTGGGCAGAAGAGGCTTAAAAGTCCCGCCTACTCATGGTGAGCAGCTTTCGGATTGGACCAGCATTAAATCGGTCTGGAACGTAATCTGAGGATGTTGCTGTGGCCCGCAGAGTCAGCGCTATAGAGCCCGTACATCAACGCTCACGCCGGATTCAGACCCTAACGGGGTAAGAAAATAATATATTTATGCTTTTAATATCATGATAGTTTCACGATGAGTGTTGCAAGGGCCTTTAGTTTGGCATCCTGAAACGGGTGATTCTTTTTTTCTGAGCGGAAGCGTAGTCATTGACGTGCATTCATATGTTAAACTAGCATCTTTTGATTCACAGCTAGTCCTTTCTATATTTTGTGCTTCTTTTCTTCAGACTGGAAGGTTTTGCTGTTTGTTATTTGCGTGTTTGAGACCGTTTCTCGCTCTGCCCCCAGAAGCCTGCTCCTTATCACCAACTTTAACCTTGCATTGTTGTTATTGGCCCTATTCTAATGCCCTTTTCATAATTTCTGCTGATTGTGTTTAGCTTTCTGCTGCTGTTGCTTCAGATGTCCAAATACAAGCTCTTCCTTCTGAGGCATGGAGAGGGCGCCTGGAACAAAGAGAACCGGTTCTGCAGTTGGGTGGACCAGAAGCTGAGCGTGGATGGGGTGAAGGAGGCCCAGGACTGTGGCCGGCTCCTAAAGCAGCAGGGATACCAGTTTGACATAGTGTTCACCTCCATACTCAGTCGTTCCATCCAGACGGCGTGGCTGGTGCTGGAGGCTATGGGCCAGGAGTGGCTCCCTGTTGTCAAGTCCTGGAGGCTTAATGAACGCCACTATGGAGCCCTGATTGGACTCAACCGGGCTGAGATGGCCTTACAACATGGAGAAGACAAGGTGAAGTTATGGAGAAGGAGTTACAACATCACTCCGCCTCCCATAGATGAATCCCACCCTTACTTTTTGGAAATCTATAATGACCGCAGGTACACTACATGTGATGTGCCGAAGGAGAAGCTTCCCCGAGCTGAGAGCCTGAAGGAGGTTCTGGATAGGCTCCTGCCATACTGGAACAGCACTGTGGTCCCAGAGATAAGGAAGGGCAAGACCGTGCTCATTTCTGCTCATGGAAACAGCTGCAGAGCTCTGCTGAAACACCTGGAGGGTATGTGAGCTCCATGCTCTATGATCTCTGCACGTGTGTGAGGTGAACATATGCGGATGAAATCAGCAGCTGCTCCTGAATGAGGAAGCAGACACGTTTACAGTGGTTGACATCCAAAAATGGAAGGTTGAACTTGTGTTGAAAGGCCAGTGAGTTTATGTTACATTTAGCTGTAGCTATAAAATCCTCCTGACCTTTTATTACACTTTTAAGTCTTTGGGTCGCTCACTCTTCTCCTTACATCACTATAAAGTAAGATCGAAATGTTTGATTTACACTATGATGGCGGAATAGCTGTAGTTCTGGTTTGCATTAGTGTCTCAGAGTGTTACAATTTATTTACAGTGCTTTTTAAAACCTGTAGCATAGCAGTACTTGTTACTGATGTCTAAGCTAGCGCCGTGGGGGATACGTTAGCAGAGCAGGTAATCATTAGCTTCTTAAACCACCACATCCGTGAGAGCAGATTTATTGATCCAGACACCAAATGAGATATAAAACTCATTTAAGTTTACAACAGTTTCCCACAGAGACGTTTTTAACGCAATCATTTCTCTCAACAGGTGTGTCTGCTGAGGATATAGCTAATGTGACTTTACCCACGGGGATACCTGTGCTGCTGGAGCTGGACGAAAACCTCCAGCCTGTGAAACCTCGACAGCTGCTTGGGGACCAGGCTAAGATTCAAGCTGCCATTAAAAAGGTGGAAGACCAGGGAAAGGCTAAACCATCAGCTTGAACACGTCAGAGGGACTATAGACTCAGTACATAACTTTTATTGTTGCTGTGTTTGTAAGCTGCTTTATTATGTACGACGACGACAAATTTCATACAAAGACTTGACAGGAACTAGCTTTAGCAGGATGTGTTGTGTTTTAGACGTAAGATTTATTGTAGTTTACTGCTTCGTGTGGCTGAGATCAGACTGCCTCTATGGTTGGAAAATGTTCAGTTGTGTGTAAATATTGATGAAACTTTTTTTTGTCATATTCCTAAATGACTTACTCCTACTTCCTGCTTGAACAGTGGCTCTTAGGCCTAGTCCACACGTAGCCGGGTTTTTTAAAAAATGAATATCCGCCCCTCCTGAAACTTGCGTCCACACCACCTCGTTTAAGAAAGAAACTGTCCACACGTACCCGGATAAATACGTTGTTAAGGACATGCCAGACCTGTAGGTGGCAGTACTTCCCCCGTTCTTAACCTCGTCCTTCGTCTGGTCTTCCGCAAGGAGCAGTAATTCCGCTTGCAAAAACAAACAAAAAGCGGTTGGACAATTGATAAAGCGAACGCAGCTCTGAGGGCATCCATGCTGTCGGCTAGTGTAAACACAGGTCGCACACGTGATGTCAGCATTTTTTTGTCGCGGAAAGTGACGTTGCAGATCTTAAAACTCCGGTTTTGTCTGTCCACATGCAGGCACCCAAAACGGAGAAAACACAGATCTTCACTTTGGCCGGAGTTTTTAAAAAGATCCGTTTTCGTGTGAAAAAACTCCGTTTTCATGTGGATGACAGGCCAAAACGTAGAAAAATATCTACGTTTTGGCAGATCCCCGGCTACGTGTGGACAGGGCCTTAATCTGCTTATTTATTGACTTGCTAATCTGCTAATTTGTCATAATTACGTTGAAAAATATGGAAGCTTCATTTTTTTCTGAAGTATGTTTTCCTGTTAGGTCAGTCAACCTAAAGTGATCGTTTGGATCTTGATTTCTGTGGAAATATTAGGTCATTTCTTACCTGCTGAATGACCTCAGCTTGGGGAAACAGAGACTAATTTTAACCGGATGGATGACTTTTATAAGACCAGGTTTGGTTTAGTCTCTACCCTAGGCACTAAAAACAGAAACATTTCACTTGAGTTGTACCTAGAGTCAGTCCTAAATAGAATTGCTAGTAGCTGAGAAGCTATAGTACTGTTGTGTGTCACCATGGCAACATCAAACATGCTTATCACACCTGTATACGCAATCGTGTAATACAGCATTTACCGGAAGCCAGATCGTTTTCGTGACATTTTAGGATTAGAGTTGTGTTATGATGTCAGTAATTCAAATTTTTGTCCTTTCCCCGCCATGACTAGTAGTTGGCATATCAGTCTACTAAAACAAATCTGTATTTTTCAAAGCTGAGGTTGCTCAAAGAGCTAACTGATGCAAAGCTTTCCTCAAAAAAACTATTTCAAAGCTCTATTATTTAGGTAATATTTAGCTAGATTTGATGTCTTTAGTGTTAATCAAACTATTTATTAGACATTTTCGTCTCTGGTCTTTTATTTAACCCGTCAACGAGTCTTACCTCAAAACGTCAATAATCTGATTGTTTACTTCAAAATGTGGACTACTATGTGGATTACTAAATACATGTGGATTAATATACTATTTAATTCATATAAATATGCCCAACCACTGATGGTGTGTGTGTGTGTAAATGACACTTTTATCTGGAGCAACCTGTTTTATGCGGTGCAATAATTGTGATGCAGATTGAAGTTTAAACTTTTTGTGACTTTAAAGCAAGAAATTTTGTGGAGATTTGAAAATAAACACATTTATAATTAAATGACTACCAAGAACAGTGAATGTTTGAAACAGGATAAACATTAAAGTGGCCAATACTAGCGTTTTTCATAATTTCCACACATAGGTCATGTTGGATTTCTTCTTTTCTTTTTTGTCATGCAAATCAAAGACGTGGAAGGAAACATTACTACTGTGATCATGTTTTAGTTTTTATAGGTGACTGTGTGCTGCCTAGTAACCTGTGCGTTATGTTAACTCTGTTTTTACCCTGAGTTGTGTTTTACTGTCACTGTTCTGTACACTGGTTGGTTTAGAGGAGACGTTACGGACGTAAGGAGAAGAAAGCACTGGTGTGATGTTTTACCTACGTACTGTATGTTGGGTAGTTGTGTGATTAAACAAAATAAATTCTAATTTAGAGTAATAATAATTTAGGATGGGAGATTTTTTCCTAATCCACAGATGATTCCGTGATGAGTCGGATTCCAAGGAGAACCACCTACAACCCAGAAGTGAACCACCTGAGCAGACCTGATAACCTGTATTCTGTTGTGCTGCTCACCTGTGCCTTACATCGCCCCTCGTCCAATAATAACGTTTCCTGAATGAAGAAGACGTGACGTCACACGCAGCACGCTGTGCATCCCTTTTCAGCTTGTGCTTATGGAGCCAAAAAAAATCGAACCGTATGATGAGAAGCTTGTTGGGTTTGATCTGGGTGCAGAATTATGACATCTGATTTGATACATGCTGATGCAAACTTGGATTTTAAGAGAGAGTAGTGCAGATGTTAAATAAATACATAAACAAATGCGTGAATAAGACATGACAGTGCCTAATTTGTTAGGATTTCTACTCTAAATATGCATATTCCTTTTCATTGCATGTCATGAATTTAGGTTCAAAAATATTGAAAAACAATCTTCACCTACAAACTTTGTCATTTAATTCTGGCAAATTTGTGTCATTTATCTAACAACCCAGCAGATAAACCAACAATAGGGCATCAGTATTGTTGTAAACACTCAAGCCTTTAGTGTTTGTACATAAATACACACGTCTGTGTGAGATAATAGATCAACGGTAGCTTGAGCAGGCGGGGCCTCCAGAGCTTGCCTTATAAACCTCTGGTCACTCTTCAGCTGCTGATTTCCAGCAGGAACTCTCAGGTCCGTCTGCAGGGCTGGTAAGTCTGATGAATGTGGCTCCTAGAGATGTTTGTGATGCGGTTGTTTCAGCTGAAGGGGACTTTTGAGTCAGGTTTTTAGATCTGCTGGATGCTTTAGCGTTGATATGAACGGCTTGTATTGTCTGACGCAAACACCGGCGTGGAGTTCGTTAAACAGAGCTTGTGCTTTACGAATAAAACTTGAGGAGGAACTGTTCCAGAGCATCACATAAAAGACCAGACAGCTATAAAAAGCAGTCTTGTTTAAAAAATCTGCTTCTGAATATTACTTGAAAATATATTCATTACAAAATTCTTCTTAATGTCTCTTTTGAAAAATAACCCATGTTTTTGAAATCATGCAAGATAACTACTAAAAAGTACCAAAAACCTAAAGTTACAAATTGGACAAATTAGTGCAAAGGCTTCACAAACACAAGGACACTAGGGCCTGTCAAAAGTCTTTCCTCTAGTATAGAAGCAGCTGGACAGATGTGGAGCTTCATGTTGAACACTTGCTCCTATTAAAGCTCTAGATGCTGTTTTCTGTGTTTATCCAAACTTTATTAGTTTTTGTATTATAATAAAACGTTTTTGTTCTTAAATTTTAAACCCTCAATTTTTAACAATGAAATCGATCAAACAATATTTTTGGGTAAATTTTCAACCAAATGCATCAGAAAATACTGAATGATTTGTTTCTGTAAAAGGTTTACGTCTCCAAGCTCACAAGGAAGAGCCAGCAGCAAAAGTTCTGCATTTCACTTTCCCGTTTTCTAAATCACAGTATTTCAACTAAAGTTTCCAGTTTTTACACTGGTTCTAGAACATCAGCAGTAACATCTGCGCCGTCCAGCACAGGAGTCAGAACTCCCATTTCTGTTGCTGAGACACTGAGCAGATGTCTGGCTGCAGATGCTCTGTTTGTGGAAGTGGGCCTGCCAAGTCTGACTCCTCTTCCTTAGATGGTCCTGCACATTAAAGCTGCAGCACTGGGCTGGCCTGAGTGAAACACTCTTTTCATTGAAGACGGGAAATGTGTTTGGTTTTCCCGTGCATCCTCCCATGCTTCTCCTGATTCCTGGAGTCAGATAGTGGGAACACGAAAACAGCTGTCTGTGCGGGAGCAGTTATACATTTAAATATGCATGCATGAGATGATGACAGATTTGCATGCTTGTGGCCGGCGGCCATGTTTGCATGTGATGTACCACCAAGAAAAGAAGGATCTGATCTGACTGAGTGTGTAACCGTAAGAACAATCCATCTCTAGTCGTGGTGGCTGGTGTTTTCTCTGAGCATAAACCTTTTTTTTTCTTGTAAAAGTGATGATTTGAGAGAGAGGAGGGCTGACTCCATTACAGCTGAAGGTGAGAGGCCATCAGTTTGTCATAGAAAATAAAAGAAGTCAACCTCAGCTTCGCACAAACCACCTCTGATGATGAGACTTCCTGCAGCATTACTGGAACAGCGTCATGACCATAACAAAAGGAAAAAGGAATTCCAGAATCACCACTTTTCACTGCAGCAACTATTTCCCAGAGTAAACATTGGTCTCTTTGTGTACATCGCCAAGCTGGGACACTGCTGCTGATGGTGCCTGTGTGCATCCATAAAAGGAGGCCAAGCTCACCTTGTAGGGAAGCAGGAGATGGACCCATCTCCAGAGTCCCCAGTAGAACAGAAGCTGCAGTTTGACAAAATCTAATTATTTCTTCTTTGATCAGTCAGACTCACCGGCGCTGTGAAGAGAAGACTCAGAGCGTAATAATCTAACAGCAGAGAAGACTCTCACTCTCCCTCACTCCAGACCATCTTTATCATTTACAAAGTCCTTTCCAACCAGCCTGAACACAACAAATTTAGGGAAACGCATAAAAGGTCATGATGACAGCATGTCGTGGTTCGTAAACTGAGTGGAATTTGAATCTCAGTTGTGGACGTTTTCATAAGTGACCATGTTTGGTCATGTGGAGCGACGAGTTGTAGCTTCTTGATTGATTGCAAACGCCTCTTTGGCAAATGTTTATGTATGTGTGTGTTGAAGTGCTTTCTCCGTCCATTAGCAGGAAACTCGTCTGGTTATGGAACACAGGGCTGGCTGCTCAACTTTATACTCCATATTGTTGTGTTAACATGAAATAACAATGTTGTTCATTCCATTTAGACCATTAACACAATCTGCTTTATTGAAATCATTAATGAGCGTTAACCTCCAAGGCCAATAGTTTTTTTTAGCATTTGATTAAAACAGTTTTATCTTCCTCTCATGCCAGACTTTTAAACTAAAACTATCTCAGATATGGAGTTTTAAATGTTTTGGTCACATCCCAAAAACCACTTTAGCAATCCCAGAAGGATTGCTAAATCAGTTTTCAGAATCGGCAATATGCCGATTATCACTTGTAAGTTGCTTTGGACAAAAGCGTCTGCTAAATACATAAACATAAACATGAAATCACAAGGTGTCGCTCCATCTGTTGGTGCTTGGAGTGTTGTGTAAATAATTCTCAGCTGCAAACACATCAAATTCTAGCTTCATATTAGTAAAGCTGACTAGATATTAAGCTGGAGCACTCTGGTCAGTGAAAATCTATTAGATGTAAAACAACAACAAACGTTTTGGCACCAGAGTTTGTAACTGATGAAGACACCCTCTGACCAGAGCGCTGCAGCTTTTCTCTGTCCTTCAGCTAGACCTCCTGTTTGGTTTTGGATGAGACACAAAGAGACATGTTATAATGAGTTTATATCTTGTCAAGTAGTTGTGGCAGCCATTCTGGATCAGGTTTACTCCATGAAATAATCAGCTGTTCATCCAGTAAAGATGTCAACTGAAATCCAGTGGCGTGTCCAGATCTTGTAAAATGGGGTGGCCCAGGTGAAGCACAACTTTGTGCATGGGTAGCACCAATGGTTGTGCTTTTTTTGTTTTACCCCCAAGCCTTTTGTGGACAACAAAAATCCTATTTAAAGGTAAATTAGTGTGTTGGCACCTGGGGTGGCCAATCAGAATCCAAGGGTGGCATGTGCTACCCCAAGCCACTCCCTGGACACGCCCCTGTTGAAATCCACTCAGACATTTATGATATATTTATCTGAAAGACAAACAGAGACGACTTCAATAACTGAACCCAAATTTTTAAGGCAAACCTTGAACACCATATTGTCATATTTTGTCTGTAGAACTGACTGAGTTGGGGCAAATGTTGTCTTTTGTACATTAGGGAGCCCAAGTCTCCTCCCCTTCTGATCAGCTCATGGGTCTCCGGAAGAACAAAGAAATGAAAGCAAGTCAACGGGGCTAAAAGAGCTCATTTCTGATCTGCTTTGCCTTAGGCCCTGGATCGCACATATGTTGTACTTCAATTTAAACAAAAACTAATGATGGCTGTTTCGACCACGCCTGCCACATACTTTGAGATTTATCAGCTTGTAAAAGTTTGTAATTAGCATGACAACAAACCAGACATCAGTACGTCGCGTACTGACGTTACCACAGAAGCTCCTCTCCCCTAGCGTAGCTTCTACGTACCACATGGCCACAGTTATGGTGGTTCTTTCCTTCTGAAGGAAGGATTTTAAGTGTTCTGAACTTACAGCCATTTTCCCTCTGTTTTTCTCCGTGTCTGGTTCGATGACATCTCTTTGGGGATGCACATTTGTAGTCCTGGACTTATTTTCACACAAAACCTAAAATAACGTTTCACCCCATTAGAAAATAAGCACGTTCTTGGTATCAAAATGTGTCTTTAAAATTCACGGACATCATATGAAATCCATGGCACATAACAAGTGGAATTAGAAAATAGCTATTTTAGCCCCATTGACTTGCATTCATTTTTTCGTTCTTTTGAGGACCCATGGTGCGGAAGTAGTAGACTTTGGCTCCCAATTAACTGGTTGTAGTGGCCATTTTTAAAATTTGGTTTCATCTCTAAAGTTAGAGTTGAAATGGCAAATTTGCAAAACAAGCTAGCTTTCAAAGTGACGATGTGTAATTGTACTGTTACTTTCTGGAAATATCCATCGAAATGTTGTTGAAAAAGAATATAAAGATGTCCAGTCGTTGAAAAATATTGGTGGCTTCGTACCATATAACCATAAAATTTTAGGGGGTTCTGAAGTACATAGGAAGCGGGTCTAGCATCTTTAGGGGATGTCATATTAGATGCCATGTTTCCTTCTGGCCGGCTTGGGGTCCTGTGAATGGCGTCACACTACATGATTGGCTGGATATACATCTTTACGATGTTACCACA